TTGGGGGGAAGCCCGGGCTCGTGGTTTAGTATTGGGGAAGCCCGGGGGGAATTTCTATTTCAAAGATTTCAAAGATTTCAAAGATTTCAAAGATTTCAAAGGTTGCAAAAGGTTTGGGAAACTTCCCGGGAGTTTCCCCCGCCTTTTGCAACCTTTGAAATCTTTGAAATCTTTGAAATCTTTGAAATAAAAATTCCCCCAATACTAAATTACGAGCCCGGGCTCGTGATTTAGAATTGGGGGGAAGCCCGGGCTCGTGATTTAGTATTGGGGGGAAGGGCCGGGCTCGTGATTTAGTATTGGGGGGAGGCCCGGGCTCGTGATTTAGTGTTGGGGGGAAGCCCGGGCTCGTGATTTAGTGTTGGGGGGAAGCCCGGGCTCGTGATTTAGTATTGGGGGGAAGCCCGGGCTCGTAATTTAGTATTGGGGGAATTTCTATTTCAAAGATTTCAAAGATTTCAAAGGTTGCAAAAGGCGGGGAAACTGCCGGGAATTTCCCCCGCCTTTTGCAACCTTTGAAATCTTTGAAATCTTTGAAATAGAAATTCCCCCAATGCTAAATTACGAGCCCGGGCTCGTGATCTAGTATTGGGGGGAAGCCCGGGCTCGTGATTTAGTATTGGGGGGAAGGGCCGGGCTCGTGATTTAGTATTGGGGGGAAGCGCGGGCTCGTGATTTAGTATTGGGGGGAGGGCCGGGCTCGTGATTTAATATTGGGGAGGCCCGGGGGGAATTTCTATTTCAAAGATTTCAATCATTTCAAAGATTTCAATGGTTGCAAAAGGCGGGGGAAACTCCCGGGAAGTTTCCCAAACCTTTTGCAACCTTTGAAATCTTTGAAATCTTTGAAATCTTTGAAATAGAAATTCCCCCAATACTTTTTTACGAGCCCGGGCTCGTGATTTAGTATTGGGGGGAAGCCCGGCTCGTGATTTAGTATTGGGGGGAGGGCCGGGCTCGTGATTTAGTATTGGGGAGAGGCCCGGGCTCGTGATTTAGTATTGGGGGGAGGGCCGGGCTCGTGATTTAGTATTAGGGGTGAAGCCCGGGCTCGTGATTTAGTATTGGGGGGAAGCCCGGGCTCGTGATTTAGTATTGGGGGGAAGCCCGGGCTCGTGGTTTAGTATTGGGGAAGCCCGGCGGGAATTTCTATTTCAAAGATTTCAAAGATTTCAAAGATTTCAAAGGTTGCAAAAGGTTTGGGAAACTTCCCGGGAGTTTCCCCCGCCTTTTGCAACCTTTGAAATCTTTGAAATCTTTGAAATCTTTGAAATAGAAATTCCCCCAATACTAAATTACGAGCCCGGGCTCGTGATTTAGTATTGGGGGGAGGCCCGGGCTCGTGATTTAGTATTTGGGGGAGGGCCGGGCTCGTGATTTAGTATTGGGGGGAGGCCCGGGCTCGTGATTTAGTATTGGGGGGAGGGCCGGGCTCGTGATTTAGTATTAGGGGTGAAGCCCGGGCTCGTGATTTCGTATTGGGGGGAAGCCCGGGCTCGTGATTTAGTATTGGGGGGAAGCCCGGGCTCGTGGTTTAGTATTGGGGAAGCCCGGGGGAATTTCTATTTCAAAGATTTCAAAGATTTCAAAGGTTGCAAAAGGTTTGGGAAACTTCCCGGTTGCAACCTTTGAAATCTTTGAAATCTTTGAAATATCTGAAATAGAAATTCCACCAATACTAAATTACGAGCCCGGGCTCGTGATTTAGTATTGGGGGGAAGCCCGGGCTCGTGATTTAGTATTGGGGGGAGGGCCGGGCTCGTGATTTAGTATTGGGGGGAGGCCCGGGCTCGTGATTTAGTATTGGGGGGAGGGCCGGGCTCGTGATTTAGTATTGGGGGGAGGCCCGGGCTCGTGATTTAGTATTGGGGGGAGGGCCGGGCTCGTGATTTAGTATTAGGGGTGAAGCCCGGGCTCCTGATTTAGTATTGGGGGGAAGCCCGGGCTCGTGATTTAGTATTGGGGGGAAGCCCGGGCTCGTGGTTTAGTATTGGGGAAGCCCGGGGGGAATTTCTATTTCAAAGATTTCAAAGATTTCAAAGATTTCAAAGATTTCAAAGGTTGCAAAAGGTTTGGGAAACTTCCCGGGAGTTTCCCCCGCCTTTTGCAACCTTTGAAATCTTTGAAATCTTTGAAATAGAAATTCCCCCAATACTAAATTACGAGCCCGGGCTCGTGATTTAGTATTGGGGTGAAGCCCGGGCTCGTGATTTAGTATTGGGGGGAAGCGCGGGCTCGTGATTTAGTATTGGGGGGGAGGGCCGGGCTCGTGATTTAGTATTGGGGGGAGGCCCGGGCTCGTGATTCAGTATTGGGGGGAAGCCCGGGCTAGGCCCCCAATACTAAACAAAGAGGCTACCTCACATTATACCTAAAGGTCCTTCGTACATCAAAGGCCTATACTTAACAAGTACGAAGTGCACTGATCCTCCAAGTTGGTCTTTCTTCGGTTCAGAGGGCTTTTTGAAGAACTCAAGTCGGGTTTAGGGTTTAGGGTTTAGGGTTTAGGGTTAGGGTTTAGGGCCTGGGTTTAGGGTTTAGGGCCTGGTTCCGTGGTTGTAGGGTATTTTGGACTCAGAGGTGTTGCATGGTCTATGTGCATTTGTCGGGCTCTGGGCTTTAGGATATCTCTGGCACGGTGGTACAGCCGCTGAACCTTCCGAGGCCTTGAGAGCAGCGGCTAAACCTATGAACCCCAACATTCAAGGGATTAAGGCTAAGGATCCCCTGAATATACTCCTGATATGGCTCTTACTTCCTGAAGGACCTGTAAGAAAAGGATCCCCAAGACCCAAGAAGTGCAACTTTAAGGGAGGTTTAAAATTTAAAAAAGACAAAAGCCTAGAAACATATGCCCCATAGCCCTATGAACCTATGAGCCACATCACTGCTCTAAGCCCTATTAACCCTATAAACCGTATAAACCCTGCAAACCCTATGATAAACCTATACAAACCGATGAGCCCCTTTACCAACCCTGTACAACCTATAAATACCTGTACACGGAGGGGCCCCCTTACTATACTTCTGCTCAGGGACTTATGCCCTAATTTAGGATCCCGACAACCTAATTTAATGTTCTTATAACTCTACTTATAACCCTAAACCCTAAACCCTAAACCCTAAACCCCTCCTTGTACGACCTATAACACCCTATAAAGCCTGGACCCTCAGCTCGAGCTCTGAGCCCCGAACACCCCGCAGTCTCGAGCTCCCCGACTGCCCGAGGGTTTAGGGTTTAGGGTGTAGGGTTTAGGGTTTAGGGTTTAGGGCAATTCCCAAACAGGGGGGCTTAGGGTTGAGGGTTCAGGGTTTAGAGCTTAGGGTCGTTTTGTATGTCACACGACTTCGTTTTGGATGTCGTGCATGTGGGCTCTGGAATCTTACGTATGCTTGGAGTTCATGTGGGGCCTCAGTCATTACAGCGTGGGGTCGACATGAACTGGCTCTCAAGCCAAGTTGCAAAGGGGTTTTAGGATTTAGGGGTTCCCCCTAGTGCCCTAGTGTACCCCCCGAAATGCTAGACTAGGCTGCCCAGTAGTACCCTTATTCCCTTTTTGGGGGGGGGTCTAGGTTCCCTTATAAACCCCTTTAAGCAAAAAAGGGGCACCCTTTTTAAGCCTAGGTTACCGGGCAGCCTAGTATATGGTCCCTATGTCGGGGAACCCTGAGAAAAGATGATTGCCCAGGATTTCAATGAGTTCTTCGACTTCCTGCGCCCACGAGCACGTTTTGCCCCGGTACACAGCAGGGGGCCGTCTGTTTTAGGGTTTAGGGTTTAGGGTTTATAGGGTTTAGGGTTTCGGGTTCCGGGTTTAGGGTTAAGGGTTTAGGGTTTAGGGTTTAGGGTTTAGGGTTGCGTTGTGCTGAGTGTCCCCTGAAGCTGACTGCTTAGCCTTGAGTTGGGGTTTTGGGGGTGGCAGGGTTTTTCAGGGGATTTCTCGGCTTAGAGGGGGTGATTTAGGGATTTGGGGCTGTAGGGGGTTGGGCTCCAAGACTTTGGGGTCTGGGCTCCAAGGAAGGCTTTTGCTGGTGGCGTTGGTGAGTGAAATTGACCAGCAGCGGGCCATCGGGGATTGAGCACGTAGGATGTAGGCATTTCCCAAACCCCTAAACCCTAAACCCTCAATATGGTACGCTTGAGATCTGTCTTGGGGCTCCTTAAGGCCCTGGTGTTAGTTGCTCGCGAGGGACCGCGGCCCTCAGGGTCCTTGTACCTATATGGTAAAAGGGGGGTGAGGGTTCCCCATGATTCCTGGGTTTTGGAGCACTATACTTTAATACTTTTTATGGTTCTGGGTTCCTATTTGAGTTACTTATACCTAAAACGTATACACTTTTTTGCCAGGGTCTACTCCAAAGGTGGGGTTCTTCGTAGGGAATGAGGGATTTAGGACCTTATATCCCCGTTACACATACCCTTTATAAGGGAATACGGGGGTACCTCATTCCCTCATTCCCTACGAACACCAGGAATATGTACTTGGGCCCTAAAGCTACTAGCTAGAAACCGAAAAGGCCATAAACCAGCAGCCCTTTTTGAGGGTTTAGGGTTTAGGGTTTAGGGTTTAGGGTTTAGGGTTTAGGGTTTAGGGTTTAGGGTTCCATGCCCAAGTCTCCTCGTGTGCTTGCTGCCAAAGAAACACGCCAGACCTCTGTTTTGAGTCACGCGAATCCCTACCTTTCGCTTGAGCCTCCTCTGGAACCTTCGAACCTGGTGACTGAAGGGTTTAGGGTTTAGGGTTTAGGGTTCAGGGTGTAGGGTTTAGGGTTTAGGGTTTAGGGTTGAAGCCTTGGCAGGTTCCTTTACAGGCAGCGCGACGGCTTCTCGAAACAGGAGGCGCCAGATGTGCCGGAGTTTGAGATGCACTAGGCACATTCCACCCAAAGGTCCATAGGACTGCAGAGGCTTCACAACTTTACTAAAGCCCATCACAAACCCCAGCGCAGGCCTTAAACCCAAAACTGGACAAGGACTTGTACAGGTTCTGCCGTGATCAATGAACACCGGGAAGCAGTCCACGGTCACAGCTCAGCAACCCTAAACCCTAAACCCTAAACCCTAAACCCTAAACCCTAAACCCTAAACCCTAAACCCTAAACCCTAAACCCTAAACCCTAAACCCTACTCAGCAGCACCATCTGCAGCAACTTTTGGGCTTACCTACGGTTTCCAAGCTAGGGGGGATCGGCCTGGACAACTGCCTGGCCTCCGCGCGAACAATACCCTACAAGCAGCCGCTGTGCACAGGTGGAGCACTTCCGAAAGGGCTTCAGTGACTACGACGCGGACCTCCATGGGATTTCTAGAACCCAAACCCTAAGCCCTAAACCCCAGACCCCAACCCCCAAACCCTAAACCCTAAACCCCAAACCCTAAACCCTAAACCCTAAACCCCAAACCCTAAACCCTAAACCCTGAATTGTTTGTAGGGCTTCAGGTTCGAGGGGCCCATGTGGCGATTCGGCTCCTTCAGCCACAGATAGTATATCCAAAGAGGCCGATATCCCTTAGTTAAGGAACATACCGAAATAGGGTTTAGGGTTTAGGGTTTAGGGTTTAGGGTTTAGGGCATACTTGGGCCTTAAAGTACTTGCTGTATAGGGAATATGGGGCCCAAGTATATACTAATTAGGTACATGGACCCTTAGGGTTAGTTAAGGTATTTTCCTTAAATCTTACCAGAGATCCCTTTGTTTGACAAAGGGCTTGTGCGTGAAATGATTTTTGGGATCCTTAATGTGCGATTCAAGGTTCCTTCATGCCCTTAACAAAAGGGCTTGTACCTGAAATTATATATGGGGGCTTTCCGAAATTAGGGGGTGCCTTATGTGAAGGAACTGGCGCATTAGCCAAGCATGGAGAACCCTTTCCGGAAGAGTCAGCAGAGGCGATGCTGGAAAGGCTGCTGAGGGACAAGGGGGTTGGCTCTGACTCACCTGCACCAGCTTGGGCCATGCAGATGCAATCCATGTTTATGTCCCAGCACAGCATGCTTTCGACTCAGATCAGTGATTTTCATGAGATCGTCACGAAGCAAGACTGTCGCATTGACGACCTGCAACATGTAGTAGAGAAGAACAAGAAGGATGATGATGCGCGTTTCCAGGCTTTGTCTTCCCAGGTGCAAACATTGACTGAGGAGGTTCGTCGGCACAGATCCCCCCCTCAGACCTCAGCAGTCACCCCAAGCGGACCGACATCAAGCTGGCGTGGCGAAGGAAAGCACAATGGCAATCAGACAGACACGAATTTTCTTCATGTTATTGTGGGAGGCTGGAATTTTGATTCCGACCGAGATGTCATCACAAGGGACCTTGACGCTTTTCTCAGACATTGGTCGGACTCGCACAAGAGTTTGATTGTCAGGACATTTGTTTGGGGGCGTAAGTCTCGGATCGCGAACATCATTCTGCAGTCCACGAGTTCGCCTGAAGAAGACCGTGCTCGCTTTTATGACATACAGGCAGCTTACTCCAACAAAGCCAGCAACAGCCAAGGAAACACAGTGTGGCTGACACCCTCAAAGACTCCCGAACGTCGTGCCAAGAACAGAGCAATCTCGGCTTGCAGGGAAGCTCTTGCCAAGCTCTACAGAAGGGTACTGATGCACTGGTTGTTGATTTTGGTAAGGGGATCATATGGTTCGAGTTTGATCGCCTTGCAGCGCTGGAACTCACGCAGATCCAGGTCGTCAAGCCTGCGAGGGTTTTTTCGGTCAAAGTTTCGTCTGAGCCCAGCTTCACATGCCATTTTAATGTTGGCCCTATCTCCGGGCTCACAGGAATCTCCGAGGCCGAGGTCGAAGCCCAGCTGGGACAGATCTGACTAGGGACTGAAACTGAGATGGACGTCGTTGCCCAACAGTATAGCTTGCGGATCGACTCTTGGAATGTTCAGGGTAAAGCTTTAGGGTCCTTCCTTAACTGGCTTGACTTGACTGACCCGTGTTCGGATGTTTTTGCGCTTCAGGAGGTTGGAGGGTTGCACCGATTAGGAGTTCTTCATAAGGGTGAGCGGGACTCCCTAACCCAGTATGATGGTAGTGAAGCTGGCGTGGCTGGAGAGTTCCTGGTTTTCGGATGCCACGCACTTAGCTCGCACCTGGGACAAGCAATTCTGCTGGACCGTGACTCTGTTGACTATGTCGTGGAATCACATGCTTATTCTTGGATGATATCTGTCACTTACATACCCCCACATACAGAGCAGAGTATCACTGTTGTATCAGTCCACCTCCCTCATACGGACAAGCCTGATGACGAGTTTGATATGGCAGTGCAGGAGCTGAGACTTGTGTCTCAACAGTTGCGGTCTAGCCTCTGCATGTTTATCGGCGATTTCAATGCTGAATCTGGGTCTCCACGCGGGCTACAGATAGCAGATGCCATGTCTGAAGTGCAATTTGTTCCCTTGTATTCCGGATGCCCAACCAGATTTGGTGCAGTCAGCGCCAGCGAACTCGACTACGCCTTCGTCAGCAAACCGTATGTTTCTTCTCTTGTTCGGCCTCAAACTGCCCCTGATATCCAGGTTTTTCCCGAAACGCGACATGAACTTAGCACTGACCATGCTTTGGTACGCACTGAAGGGATCCTGTGCAAAAGCTGTTTGGGGGACAGGCCCAAAAAGGCCCGCAAGCGTAGACGACGGAGATGCACAAGGTGGTCTGTCTGCAAGGAGGCGTTAGATGAACAGCTACCAGGCCACTTAGCTCAGCAACCCCCCAGTGCGGCAGGACAGTGGGAGCAATTGTGCCATATTTCACAGACAGTGTCCTCCAGCACGCCCTCCAGAAAGTACCGTGACAGCCCCTTTATTAAGGAACTCTGTTGGAAAAGACGAATGTGCACGGACCCTTCCGAGAGGACTGAGCTCACGAGACGTATTCTTTTCTTCAGGGGTGCTGCTAAAATACAATGGTTGAGAGACTTGGAGGCCCAGGCCAAAATGGGGGACGCCGGAGCTATTCGTTTTTTGCGACAACGCCAGAAGCCTAAGGGGTCGTTTGATGACCTCGTGCATCGGTGCGGGGGCCAGGACGCCGCTGCGAAACATATCCAACAGCACTTTCAAGGTCTTTTTGCCCCAGAACAGAAACCCGAAGAAGTGGACGCCGTCGCGACTTATATGAACGAACTCCAGATACACGCACAGTATCAAGGCACCCATGATTTCAGCGAAGAAGAGGTTGGCCCCTGCATTGAGCACATGCACCTCGGCAAGGTGGCTGGGCTTTCTGGCATCTCGGTAGAACTCATAAAGGCCATCTGGAACCAATCGTCGGGAAAGACACTCCTGTTGAATCACCTGAACACGTTACACCGTACAGATTCGCTTCCCGAACCCGCTGTGAATGCTTACATTGCACTTCTACCAAAACGACTTCGGGTTCTTTCGGTTGACGAAATACGGCCTATTCACCTGATCGAATCGATCACTAAGCTCTACTGCTCGGTGCTTAGTCGACGATTGCAGACGAAGTGGAGTTTGTCGCCTGTCCAGCTTGGGGGTGCCAAAGGCACCCAAGCCTTGGATGCTCTGAGTGCTGCACACTGGCACATTGACCAGCAGGCGCGTGCTCGCAAACCGGGTGTGTGGCTGAATGCTGATATTGCCGGGGCCTTCGACCATGTTTCGCACCTAGCAGTCGTCCGTTTTGTCATCGAAAACACACCTGATGAGCAGGCTCACGAGGCTCTTCAGCTGTTGCGCGTGGTTCTCTCGCCCTCATTGCACTTTGAGTGGCGTCATGAGCGATGGTGCGTTGCACAGAAACAAGGAGTGCAACAAGGACATAGCTATAGTGCTGCTCTGTTCAGCTTTGTGCTTGGGGTGGTCCTCGACAAAATTTTCGGGCAATGGGCACATCGGGGGGAAGAATTCCCGCATCCTAGTCACTTTGGGTGGGCCTATGTAGACGACGTGTTGATGACATTCAAAGATGCAACGCAAGCGCGACGGCTGGTGCCAGAGCTACAGAGGGCGCTGGCAAATGTCGGCTTGTCCCTGTCGCCCACCAAGACCCAGGTGCTGGTGCATCCTGACATGGACAAGCCATCTGACTTTCACGATGACGAATTTCTTGGACAGTGTGCATGGGTGCATGAGACCACTTACTTGCGCAAAACTCTGGCTTTTCCGAAGGATGCGCAACCTCGCTCCGAGCAGTTGCTGAAAGCAGCAGGAATAGCAACGCATTCCGCGTACGAGAGCATGCGAGCCTTTCTCCGAGGAGCCCAATGGCATGAACCCTTATTGACATGTGCCTTGCTCTACCGATATGTGGCATCTACTTGGTTGTGGTTTGCCCCCTTGATCGACGTTACTGCCCAGAACCTCACTGCTGTGAGAACCCTCCAAACCACCATGCTGATTCTGTGTTTGCAACTGTATATTCCAGCGGAATTCCCACATGCCCCGGCTATGTACCTCAACCGCTTGCGTAGGCGAATAGTACTCCTGCTGCTGGACCTTGAACCTACTCGAGCGTGGACGCACTGCTGGCAAATGCGAAGATGGACATATTTGGCTCACGTGTTCAGACGCCCTGCCCAAAATCCAACACGTAGTACTCTGCTGCATTTCACTCAGGTTGTCAGCCGCAAACCGGGACCTTGGTCGAATGCTTTAAGCTGGATGTATGCCACCTTCTATGGGGCTTTCTTGGGTAGCGGGCAGTCTTTCGACACAGCTGTTGCTGACAAGGACTTGTGGCAGCAGAAAGGTCTGCAACATTTCCTCGCCCAGGCTCAGACACAGCAGCACGGCGCGATACGGGCTCTCACTGCCGAGAATTGGAGACACCCTTTCCAGTACAGAGTCGGCTGGCACCTGCCGTGTCTGTTGGGAATAACTCCGTCTGAAGAGCTGCAAATCACGGTGCTAGACACTGAAGATGGGTGGCTCTCATGGACCCTTGGTTCCGATGTGCCTGCCGAGTTCGAACATTGGCTCAGCCTTCGTTTAATGATTGAAAGACCCATTGCTGTCACATGCTTCGCAAGCTCGGACATTTTAGATAGCATTCTTGGGGATGTGCAAAGCCTCTGCCTGCGAGTTTGGCAGCGACACCAAATTGTTGTTACCTTCGAGACGTTAGGTACTGCTGCGGCCTCAAGGGCCTATGCCAGTGCCGTTCATTCCTGACGTGATTCGGGGCGTAGTCACGAGTACTAGGCCTTGGATCCCAGACACAACTTTGGCATTACACGAGTGCTCATGAAGGCTGCATGGACGGCTGTGAAACCCGGCAGAGCTCGCGGGGTCAAAAGGGGGTGCCTTATTGGAGTCCTTAACTTATAAGGGGATACTGCTGTTTGGTGGCATAAGTTAGGGGTTCCCTTATTTTCGTAAACTCCCACGTGAAGGATCCCTACATGAATTGAGGCATGCTCCTCAATTGAGGGGTATAAACCCTAAACCCTAACCCTAAACCCTAAACCCTAAACCCTATTGTGCTCTTTGGTCTTTGGCTGGGTAGGCCCCCTTGGGACAGATCTTCCCTTTTTGAGTTTAGGGGGAATTCTAGTTCAGAGGGCTTTAGGGACCATCCTGGGATTTAGGCGTTTTAGAGTTTTGAGGTTTTACGGTTTTTGGGGTTTTAGGGTTTTAAGGCTTAGGGTTTTGGAGAGGTCCGGGGCTCTCTCGGTACCAAAGCACCAAGCCGTTCATCAACCTGCTGCAGTTCCCCTAAACCCTAAACCCTAAACCCTAAACCCTAAACCCTAAACCCTAAACCCTAAACCCTAAACCCTAAACCCTAAACCCTAAACCCTAAACCCTAAACCCTAAACCCTAAACCAGGCAGATCCCCGAAGCGAATACAACTATCAAGCTTCAACCTGAAGTAGGCCCAGCATTGTGTCCCAAAGCCCCTAAACCCCAAACCCCAAACCCTAATCCCTAAACCCTAAACCCTAAACCTAAAGCCCCTAAACCCTAAAGCCCCTTAAAAGCCCCCAGACGGGATGGAGTTCAAGGGGGGTAGGTACCTAGGGAAGCTTAGGGAGCCATGGGGAGTGGTGGGGAGTAAAAGGGAACCTTAGGTTACATACCCCCCCCTAGAACCACCCTCCCGCAAAAACACCACAAGTTTAGGGTTTAGGGTTTAGGGTTTAGGGTTTAGGGCGGAAGCCCCAACCCTTCAGCAGAGCATCGGCAGGACGGCAGCGGAAGCATCAGCACCCTGGAGTTGAGTATGGGGCCTGGCACGCCGTCTAAGGCTTGTAGGCTTCAGGGTTTGGGTTCCTAGCCCTAAACCCTAAATCCAAAACCCTAAACCCTAGGCTTTAGGGGGCTCCGAGTCAGTTTCGCGATTTTTTAGGAGAAAACTATGAAGGGGGGGGGGGGGGGGGGCAAATGTATCCAGGGAGCCCAACACAACTTAATTCAGGAATATAGCTGAAGCTATATGGGGGATCCCTGTACATGATTTAAGGTGTCTTACTTATTTAAGGGGCATCGGGCTCTTCCGGGATGAGTTCTCTGGCATTAAGATTTGTTCTACGTCTGCAGGTTGCGATATGGAGCCGGGCTTTCACTATTGCTTTTGGTGCGTCTAGGGGCTCTTCTGAAATCACGGTGTGCGTGCGCATGTGTGTGTGTGTTTCCATATGGGATCTCTTTTTGGGATACTTGCAAGGAGAAGCTTCTATGTAGAGCCGGAGCTCTTTGCCCTTGACAGCCCGCGGGAGCTAAAGAGTCCAAGAAAGCAGTATCACCTGCCGACACCACAGCGACACAAGTATAGACAGTATGGTTACTTGAAGGTTCATGGTACTTACTAACCAATTATAACTGTACTTATAACCCTACTTATAATACCTTTAAAGGGCCTTATAGGGGTTATCCCAATTACCAGGAACCTTCAAGTAAGGGCTTACAACCCAGGTCATAGCTATCGTGGCGCGGGGTACCTCCCTCTACCATTCTCAGACTTGTCGCGGCAAGAAATGCATTCATCTAGTCTGCATGCAATCCGCAGGCTCTGCAGCCCTCAACCCGAAAACCCTAACCTAGACGTAAACCCTAAACCCCGGCAAATCGAGAGCGCTGCAAACACAAAACACCCTGAATCTTCCATCCCGCGCATCGAGAAGTGCGCCCCAACCCTAAACTCCAAACTCGACTGTTCCTAAACCCTAAACCCAAACATCCGAAACTCAAAGCCCTTAAGCCCCCAACGCACGGGACTTTTCAGGGAGTTCTTGCTGCTTTTGAGCCCTATAAACCCTGAGCCCTGAATCTCCTGGATAACGACTCTCTCTAAGGAAAGTTAGATGGTTCCTTACTTTGGTCTCTTGCCTTCTTCAGAAGGGTTCTCAGGTATGGACCCTTTGGTTTTATGATGTATATAAGGGGTATACAAAGGTTCCCGAATTAAGGGCCTATATGAATGGACCATGTAACTACCCAAAGAGCCCAATACCCCTTAAGTAAGGAATATGCCTGAAGTCATAATAAGGATCCCTTTATGATTTAGTGCATATTCCTCAATTAAGGGGTATTGGGCTCTCTGGGTACCCTAAACCCTGAACCCTGTACCCTGACACTGGGCGATACCCAGGCGACATCTTCCGTGAGTTCGGCTATCGAGATCGGGGCTCGGCAGATGCTCTAATTTTCCCTGTCGAAGGGATTTGTTGGGCTTAGGGTTTCGGGTTTAGGGTTTGGGGCCTATAATTTGGGATGTTCCCCCTTATATTCACAGTCCTTAATAGGGATTATGATAGGGGATACTATGAACACCTATGAACATCCAAACCTTCAAATCTGCAGTTCGGGGTTTGGCGTTGAGGGTTTCGAGGCTTAGAACAAGCAATTCGAATTAGATGATCGCCTCGGCTTGTTTACTGCCTTCGGAGGAGCAAGGTGAACATTGTGGCAAACCCTAAACCCTAAACCCTAAACTCTAAACCCTAAACCCACTAGGTAAGTTGGTCTGAAAGTCTCTGCAAATGTTGGGATGCAGACGGCAACCCAAACTGAGCACGAGATGATTACGCGGCTGGAGTGCGAGAAACTTGTCACGAGCATGGTGGAGGGTTTAGGGTTTAGGGTTTAGGGTTTAGGGTTTAGGGTTTAGGGTTTAGGGTTTAGGGTTTAGGGTTTAGGGTTTAGGGTCGGCATGCTACAGGAGCAGGAGGCAGCCGTTGCATCATGACAGGCTCTGAGGTGGCGAATGCCACAGGTGACCTTGTAGCCTGGACCGCAGCCTGCGGAGGAGCCCTCCTCTTCTCCCCAAAGAGCCCAATACCCCTTAACTAAGGAATAGACCCTAACTCATAAGCAGGATCCCTTTATAATGTTTATAAGGTCGAATCCTTAATTCAGGGGCATTGGGCTCTCTGGGTCCTGAAGCGTGTCGCAGATCGACCTCTGTTTCCAGTCTGCAACTCCTTACACATGCAAGCTGGCAAGCAAGCCCCCAGGGCTCAGCAGTCGCATCAGCAGTGGGCCAATATGAACCTTCATCTAGGTGCGGATACCTGAGTCGACCGAACTTCTTGACCTTTGTACAGGACCTCGTTTTGGATGTCACACGATTTTGTTTGGGATGTCACGTGTGTGGGCTTTGGCATCTTAAGTATGCTTGGAGCGCATGTGGGGCTTCAGTCAACAAGCTTGAGGTTCAGGTCTAGTCTGTTCAGTTCTTTCAGCAGAATTCTGCGCTTAGTTGAGGGTTTTCAATCTTAGGTTTATGGCATTAATGGGCAGGGTTGCCGGCGGCCTCTCGGCAATCGTGCTTCACCCTGCCCTTAGATCCGAAGCCCCAAACCCCCAGAGCCCAGATCTCTGTGGAAGCTCTGCATCACTACATTGACCGGGTGGATGAAGACGGCTCAAACCAGTCGGTCCCTCAGCGGTTCAGGGTTACGGTGTAGATATTTCATGTCTTTACAGAGCCACAAGAAGATGCGCAAAACACGACGAAGTTTTATGTTTCCGATGGAAGGATGATGAGAAGGATGTATTTCTCCGAGTTCGCAGTGTTGGGCTGGCGGGGGTTGCATCACAAAGAGACGCGGAGAGTCATCAGGCGCCTGCCAAAGTCGTAGCACAGCTTCTCAAGTGAACTCCGAACACAACGTGATGGGTGCAAAACGACCCGGAGTGCGCAGCAAGCATCGATCTGCACAGATCTGCTTGGACTTTGTATAGCTCGTGCACCTTGGTCTCCATTTACCTAGCGTTTCATGGGTTTTACTTATTACTCACCCCGTCACTCCATGTCCCGCCCCTCCTACCTCCTCCCCCACTCCCTCCCTCACACCCCCTCCCCCCGCCCTAAACCCTAAACCCTAAACCCTAAACCCCTCAACCAACTGCAGGCTTGATTTTCGGGAGCCTGGGCCCTGGATGGTGGCACTGCTGGTGGTGGGATTTAGGGTTTAGGGTTTAGGGTTCAGGGTTCAGGGTTCAGGGTTTAGGGTTTAGGGTTTTAGAGTTTAGGGTTTAGGGTTTAGGGAGATGGCCGGAGTTAAGAATTCACGGGAGCATTTCGGATATTGGGGGTCGCAGTTCTTTATTGTGCAGAATAGACAGTAGAGCTTTGGTCTTTTTGTTGACTAGAGTTGAGGCGTTGGGTTTTGAGGCTTGAAGGCTTTACGTTTGTGGATCGAGTCGCTAGTGCTTGCTCACGCGGGCACTGGTATGAGGTTCAGAGGCTTTCCCCACTTACAGTACATGAGAATAGGGCTCTGCACTTACCGATTTTTGAGATGTAGTACGAACTATTGGGTGTCTAGGACACAGAGTGGGCCCTTATTCCTTGTTTTAGTCGTTTAGGCTCCCGTATAAGCCTCTTTCATCCAAAAGAGGCACCTTTTTTTGCATTCCTAGGCTGCTAACCCCAAACCCTAAACCCTAAACCCTAAACCCTAAACCCTAAACCCTAAACCCTAAACCCTAAACCCTAAACCCTAAACCCTAAACCCTAGACCCTACTCTTGGGTCTCAGAGTGTAGGCTACTTAGTGGCCCCGAGGTTCCTTCGCCTCATGCGGTGGCACCGCGAGCAAGGGGCTGAGTGCTCGGGCATTGGCGTATGATCTTGTTCAGGGTTCATACGTAGGGTTTATAGGGTACGTAGGGAGTTTAGGGTGTAATAGGGTTTACAGAGTGTTGAGGGTGTGGGGTTGAGGGGGTGTCGAGGCAGCACCTAACCGCCGCCCCCCATAGAGGATTCCGGATGCTTATGGGTCCGATTTTGCGGGTTTCAGCCTGCGGCACCGGTTTCCAGGCCCTAATTCTCATGTGCTCACATATGTACGTGAAAGTCTACCCAGACGTCGAGTTCGTTCCTTATGCTGGCACCCATACTTTCGGACAGTGTTATATATATATATATATGTATATGTGTGTATATATGCTTCGAGTTGGCCAGTGAGTACAAGGCTCTTGGGGGACAGGACAAGGAAACCAGGACAAATCCCGCACCAACCGTGCTGAAAGGTTTGGAGATGGTTTGGGTTTGTGGCTTAGTGTTTTGGAGATGTTTTGGATATCGGGCTTAGTTTTCATTGTATGGAACAAGCCCGGACAGAGTCTTCCATTCCTTGTCACCGAACTTGAAGGTCCGCTCTACTGCAACCGAGACCCAAACCCTAGGGGGGGGGGGGGGTTTGGGCAAGGGTTGTTCTAGGGCAAGTGACACGGTCCCTTCATATGGGCCCTGAAATGGGACCCCCTTGTATACCCCTCAAACACCGTCTAAAGCCTGAGGGCCCATACCTCAGATCCCTTTGATGGAGGTCAGGGACCATACTTGAAGGTTCATGGTACTTTCTAACCAATTATAAGTGTACTTATAACCCTACTTATAATACCCCTAAAGGGCCTTATAGGGGTTATCCCAATTGTAAGTAGGGTTATAAGCCCAGTTATAATTGGTTAGTAAGTACCATGAACCTTCAAGTATTAAGGGACCATGTAACAGAGATTTGACAGGTCAGAGCTCGACAACTACAAGAAGGTCTATGCCAACTTCAAGGTGGACTGCGGTTTGATCTTGAGTTTTGAGGTTACTCGCTTCCACGGTCACAAGTCACCCGCAAGCAAGTTGGACACCACACCATGTTCTCGAAACGTCGCGTGGGCGAGATCTCATGTCTTGTGCCATGACCCCTCCACCAGACCATCCTTTAACCTCCCAAGCGAGCGTGCGTGAGCGCGTGCTGCCGGAAATGTGCCAGTGCATCTGAGCGTGCACGTGCACGCATGGGTGCATGGGTGCATGAGTGTATGGATGTCTGTCTGTCTGTCTGTCTGTCTGTCTGTCTCTGTGCGTGGGGTGTGTGTGTGTGTGTGTGTGTGTGTGTGTGTTTTTGTGTGTGTGGGTGTTTTGTGTGTGTGTGTGTGTGTGTGGGTGTTTTTTTGTGTGTGTGGGTGTGTGTGGGTGTGTGTGTGTGTGTGTGTGTGTGTGTGTGTGTGTGTGTGTGTGTGTGTGTGTGTGTGTGTGTGTGTGTGTGTGTGTGTGTGTGTGTGTGTGTGTGTGTGTGTGTGTGTGTGTGTGTGTGTGTGTGTGTGTGTGTGTGTGTGTGTGTGTGTGTGTGTGTGTGTGTGTGGGTGTGTGTGTGTGTGTGTGTGTGTGGGTGTGTGTGTGTGTGTGTGTGTGTGTGTGTGTGTGTGTGTGTGCGTGTGCGTGCGGGTGTGTGTGTGTGTGTGTGTGTGTGTGTTTTGTGTGTGTGTGTGTGTGTGGGTGGGTGGGTGGGTGTGGGCGTGTGCGTGTGCGTGTGTTTCGTTTTAGTGTTTGCGTTTGTGTGCGTGTGTTTGTGTTTGTGTTTGTGCGCGTGTGTCTGTGTTTGTGTTTGTGTTTGTGTTTGTGTTTGTGTTTGTGTTTGTGTTTGTGTTTGTGTTTGTGTTTGTGTTTGTGTGTGTATTTGTGTTTTTGTGCGTGTGTGTTTGTGATTGTGCGTGTGTTTGTGTTTGTGTTTGTGTTTGTGTTCGTGTTCGTGTTTGTGTTTGTGTTTGTGTTTGTGTGCGTGTGTTTGTGTTTATGTCGAGTGTCTGTGTCCGTGTCTGTGTCCCTGCGAGGTCGCCGTTGACGATTATCAGGGCGGCTCGGCAAGCAGACTCCCTAAACCCTAAACCCTAAACCCTAAACCCTAAACCCTAAACCTTGATCCCATGTGCACTTTAGGCTTTCGGGGTACAGGAAAGCGAGGTTCTCGAATGTGAAGCATATCCGGTCTACGCATTGTGCATGTGAGCCCAAATTGCAGGTGCGAGTTGAGTTTAGGGTTTAGGGTTTAGGGTTTAGGGTTTAGGGTTTAGGGTTTAGGGTTTAGGGTTTAGGGTTGACAGGCAGAAGATCAGACGGTGTAGCCGTGTGGCAGGACACAGTATTGCTTTGACTGTGTGGTTCTGTTAATCCAGGCTGCATACCTCAAGGATCCATGGACCTATACTCAGTGCTGTCTCGGGTCTCGTGGCTCGCATGCTTTAGGGTCTAGGGTTTTAGGGCTTAGGGCAATAACGGTCAAGCTGCCTTTAGAGCTACTCCGCAAGTCCGAAATCTGATGCATGTAATTGACCAACCCCAAACCCCAACATTCGCAAGTTTTGGTCTGCAGGGCGAAAGCTATTTCCCGCGCCCCAAAAAACATGGCGGGCCAACTGTTGCGGCCTCAAAAGGAAAAAACACCGCCCAAAACCCTAAACGAACACTGACTAAAGACTCTCACCAGGCACCCGGAAAAATAGGGTTTAGGGTTTAGGGTATTAGGGTTTAGGGTCAACAATAGTCAGATCCGACTTACTTTTGCGGCCTTTGGAAGCCAGTAGTTGGGCAGCTGGAATTCCCTGGAGCAAGTTAGTTCCTCAAAGAGAAAAGTACCCCTAAGATGCAAGGCGCGCTTCTCATTTTGAAGGGTAGAGTTCAAGCATGACTCCAAAGCGGTGTGATTTGGTAGCTCAGTTCCTTGTTTTTTTTGGTTCAAAGTCAAAGGCTCCCTTATAAATCTAAGGTTGGAACCTGGAACAATGGGCCTTTAGTAGGGTTGTGGAAGGGGTTTTGAAGGGATCCGAGGTATGGCCGTATAGGGTATATAAAGGGTTTTATAACGGGGACCCAAATCAAGGGCCCATACTTCGGATCCCCTAATAAAGCAACCAACCCAAGAGGCAGGGTGCCCTCATTCTGATGTGGTTACTGGGCTACCAAGACAAAAAGCCTAAGCCCCAAAGCCTAAACAGGTAGTTGTAGCTAAACCGTGACAGCCCGAAATGGACGTCGAAGGCATCCCGGGGAAAAAGCTTGCGCGGGCCATCGAGGAGCGGGTTACTCTAAACCCTCAAACCCTAAAGGTTCTGTAGGATGCCAGATGTCGAAATGGTAGAACCCCCAAGTAGGGTTTAGGGTTCAGGGTACCCTATACTACCATTGGGTCATTCATAGGAACCCTTAAAGGGATCTACTTTGTGGGTCCTCCCGTGAGGCTCTGGGACATGAGGTTTACATTGTTGGGGTTCAGGGTTTACGGTTGAGGGGCTGCAAAGGACTCAGGGTTTAAGTCTTTAGTCCAAGGTTGGAACCGTGGGCCCTTAGTGTGGAAAGGGATCCGAAGGAGGGAGGTGGCTTTGTTATTCCGTAGATATATATATATATATACATATAGTGCATATAAGCGTTATATAGCAACGCGCCCATATTAAGGGCGAATTCTGGAGCCCTAGATTTGTGATGATTTAGCGAATCACTTCCAGGACTTGAGTATCCGGTAATCCAAGTGATCCGTGCTACTTGGCCCTAAGGCCCTACATAGTTGACTGGGTAACCTTGAATCGTTGTTTTTTGGTTTTCTTGTTCTTTATATCAGGGCGGGTTGCGTAAATTTAAATGGCGCTCCCTAAGCCCAGTCCCAGTCAGTAGGGCCTGATAGGCTGTTCGAGGCTCAACCGGACAACATCCAGACTTAGGCTCTAGGGTACAAAGGCTTTAGGGTTTAGGGTGTAACCCTGAACCCTAAACTCTAGGGCTTAGGGTCGACGGTATTGGCTAACCAAAGGCTCCTATGTAGTACTTTTTGGGGTAGTATACCAGAATCCCCTATAGCCTATAGCTACCCCAACAATACCCTAGACCGTCCCTGATCCCAGGAGTTGAAAGCCATCGGCGCGGCCCTTAGCCTAGGGCGCGAGAGTCTAAAGGGGGGCTCTAGGGGGGGGGGGGGGGGGGGGGGTGGTGGGGGGGGGGGGTGGGGGGGTGGGGGGGGGGGGGGGGGGGGGGGGGGGGGGGGTGGGGGTGGGGGGGTGTGGGGGGGGGGGGTGGGGTGGGGTGGGGGGGGTGGGGGTGGGGGGGGGGTGGGGGGGGGGGGGTCCTCTAGCCCTAAGGTTATAAGGGCTGTTATTTCAGAAGTTTGCTGGAATCTGAGGTTTTTGAAGGGTCGGGGTATAGGGCTTGGGGGATTGCTGGGGTTTTACGGGTTTGTGGGGCCTTGGAGGCTTCATAATTTTAGGGGGTGTAGGAGCCTTGGCGGGCATGGGGGGAGGTTGGGATGTTCCCCCTTTTACTAAGGGGGGTACTATAATCCCTATTAAGGACTGGTAGTATAAGGGGGAACATCTCAAGGGGTATGGGTGTGGGGGCTTTGGTTTTATGGGGTTTTGGGTTCGGGGTTTTCCGGGGGTTTTGTTTAGTGCTTGAGGTTTCAGGTTTGCCCGAAACCTGCAACAGTTTACTAGGTAGGTTGCTGGGTTTCCATGCAAGTACTTGGATGGGGTTCAGGTTCGGGTTCAAGTTCAGACGGTTTAGGGTTAGCGTTTGAGAGCTGAGCACGGTCTAGGGTTTATAAGGAGTGCTGCCAGGCCTGTTGCTTAAGAAAGGGTGCAAGGTTCAGACTGTAAAGCCAGTGTAGGGTTTATAGTGTTGGGGTTCAAGAGGTCCCGAAGCCCCAAACCCTAAACCTGAAAAGAGAAACCCTACACCTTAAACCCTAGAAAACTCAAACCCGATGCCCCAAAATCTCCAGCGTCCCGGAAGAGCCCAAGACCCCCTTCGTTCAGGAATAATCCCTAAAAGATATACGGGGCCCTTAGTTCATAGGGTTTACTTGGTACCCAATGGTACCCTTTTGCCTTTCTTTTGTGTTTCAAGGCTCCCTTGTATAGTGACCAACCCCAAAAAAGTGGTATAACCTTTGGGGGCATGTTGTTGGGTTTAGGGTTTAGGGTTTAGGGTTTAGGGTTTAGGGTTTAGGGCTTAGGGTTTAGGGTTTAGGGTTTAGGGTTTAGGGTTTAGGGTTTAGGGTTTAGGACCCCAAAGGGTACCCGTATGTCGGACCTCCCACCCCAAAACCTGCGCTCGATCCCCTACTTCCCTGAAGGGTCCCTGAAACCGGTCTTAGGGTCCAGGGTGTACCTTGGACTCCATTTACCTACAGTTTAGTCGTGTCTACCTCTAAATGCGTAGGTCTAACCCATAAAACTGTAGGTAAAGAGAGTCCTAGGGATGGTTTAGGGTTGTTGGTGAAGGGTTTAGACTTTGCTTTCAGGTGATCGCCGCATCATCGACAGTGAGGTCGACAGGCCCGGGAGCGATCCCACGTTGTCGTCATGACTGGCTGGTTCTTGCTAGGGAATGAGGGAATGAGGTACCTACAGAATCCCTTAAAGGGTATATATAGGGCCCTCATTCCCTAATTCCCTACTCAGAACCAGGGGGTCATGAGCTTTCTCGTCTTTCCCCCAGCTGCAAAGAACACATGGGTAGTTCTCTAAACTACAGTCCCTTTGGGGGTTACGATTATACGGCGGCCCCTACTATTGTTTTAGCCTGAACCCTGCAAAAACCCTATGACCCCTGAGCCCTAAACCCCCTCAACCCTGTATACCCGCCCTTCCCCCCCCCCCCCTTCCCCCCCTTCACCCCCTCCCCCCCCTCTCCCCGCAACAACAAAGATACTATAAACCCTAAGCCCCTAAGCCCCTAAGCCCCTAAGCCCCTAAGCCCTAAACCCTAAACCCTAAACGCTAAACCCTAAACCGTGGCAAAAAACCCTAAACCCTAAACCCTAAACCCTAAACCCTAAACCCTAAACCCTAAACCCTAAACCCTAAACCCTAAACCCTAAACCCTAAACCCTAAACCCTAAACCCTAAACCCTAAACCCTAAACCCTAAACCAAGCCCCCTGCAAACAACAAAGCCTCAACGCCTCAGGTTGCCCAGCGACATCCTCATAGATTTCGACATGTTCGTGGACATCGTGGACGCATGTCGCTTTGAGTTCGTGAAGCAGCCAGGGCCCCTGAGAGGGGCAGTTTGGGGTTTCGGGTTTGGGGTTTGGGGTTTGGGTTTGGGGGGCACCTTGGTTCAGGCACTATATCAGTCGAGGGATTACGAGAAGTATTCCTTTATGGTCCCTAGATAAATTTATGCCATAATATACCACCCGAAAGTCGTCCTCCATTAAGAGCTTACAGAGCTTTACAGGGGTGTGGGGTGTCAATGACAGGTTTTTGCGGGTAGGGCTGATTCTAGGGGTTTACAGAGCTTATAGGGGTTTGGGGGTTCTGCGGTTCAATTCCAGCTTTTTTCAGTGCGTTCAATTCCAGGTTTTGGGGTGAAGGTTTGGGGTGAAGGCTGTAGGGGCAACATCATTTGCATACTTGTCCTTTGTGTTCCCGAGCAGTTCTGCTAGAATGTGACCCCGTTTTTTATACCCGCTGTGCACCCGGGTGCAGGGAGAAGAAGAAGGCGGGCTTCACAGACGAGGAGTGCGCTACTTACACTGCCTGCATTCCTTCCAGCTCTTGTCTCGTGCCCTTGAAGACTTCGCCCACGCGGCTGGTGTCATGGGAAGCTGGGAGGTGTAGGCCACTGAGGAGGACGTTTTGTCTCTGAGGCTGCAGATATACGTGGACCAGTTCAAGAAGTTTGTGTGTCTGACATGTTTGGAACTTGAGAACGCCCGATGACGGGAGCAGTTCACGCTCCACCACAAGCTTCCGATCGGGGAAGAGAGCATGCCTTTGCTGACTAGGAAATGCAGGACGAAGTGGGTATGGACCATCTAAAAGTTATCGGGACAATTCTTGCCAGGGAATTCGAGAAATTGGCAAAAAAACGATGCACCCCTACACACACGTTTAAGGGGTTCTACAGGGTACCTAGCTCCCAGGTTTCCTACCCTGAATCGTTAATGTCTATGCCCTTGAGACCCTGAAGACTTGCAGTCGCTATTCCCTTGAGACCCTGAAGCCTTAAAGTTCCCTGAACCGATGTGGCCAGGACAGGGACGGAAGTGGTGGGATCGAAGGGAAGGAGCTCCTGAAACTGCTAGAGGCCCATCGGGGAAAAAGGTGGGGTGTTAGTGGGGGTGGGGGTGGTGCACAAGTGTACAGGGATTCAGGGTTTAGCTTACTGTCACCTCTGATACTGAACAGCAGAAGCAGTGTGTACATCGTCTCATGAGATTCAATCTCGATTGTACTTTCCTGATCGAGTTTTTTCCCTGCTTCATCACGGGGAAAGGGTCCGTCGTAGTTGATAGAGCTATGCAAGTGTGCCACGCAAGTGTGCGAAGCGTTCTGCATGTGTGGTGGTGGGAGTGCCACTGCCGATTTAAGATGGCTGTTCCTGTAAGTGCAGTTGTCGAGTACCATTGCTGCTTTTCAGATTGCTGAGAGCATTGCAATTGTTCAGGCCTGACATTCACTGAGCGCAAGAGCGAGAGAGAGAGAGAGAGAGAGAGAGAGCGAGCTTAGGTACTTTTGAACTTCTGTTTAAGTTTGGAAGGTTGGGTCTGGCGCATTTTGCTGCTAGCTTGGCCAGCTTAGGTCACGTAGGGCTGCGGGTACCAGCAAGGCACATGAAAGCAAATCCTTGAGAGCTTGGCTGAAGCACCCTGAGCCTCGAACGCCCAAAATGACACCTATGCCTCGGATGTTGAGCTTAGGGTTTAGGGGCAAGATAGACAGTTCCCCCCTTCCCCCCTTCCCCCCCCCCCCCCCCCGACCCCCCCCCCCCCCCCCCCACCCTAAACCCGAACCTTACACCCTCAGCAAACCCTTAACCCCAAACCCATGCCCCTACCCCCCCCCCCCCCAACCCGCAAACCCCAAGCCCCAAGCCCCCCCCAAGCCCCCCCAAGCCCCCAAACCCCCAAACCCCCAAAACCCCATTTAATCGACGTAAGTGCAGCGACATGGCTCGGCGTGCGGAGCCAGGACTTTTAGCCTGGCTACACACTACGCCTCTGAGGATCCCCAAAACCCCAAACCCCCCAAAAAACCCAAAAAAACCCAAAGCACCCAAAAACCCCCTAAACCCTAAACCCTCAACCCTAAACCCTAAACCCTAAACCCTAAACCACCACGAAACTTCACCGAACCTTTTTCAGGCTTTCAAGTGGGAGCCGAAGTCGAAGCAAGACCGTGAGGCGCTGCACTGAGATTTTTTGGGGGTTTAGGGTTTAGGGTTTGGGGTTTAGGGTTTAGGGTTTAGGGTTTGGGGTTTAGGGTTTGGGGTTTGGGGTTTGAGGTTTAGGGTTTAGGGTTTATGTTTTGGGGTTTGGGGTTTTCGGGGTTTCGGGTTTGAGGTTTAGGGTTTGGGGTTTGGGGTTTAGGGTTTCGGGCTTGTAGCTTGCCTGGACAGAAAGCTTGTCACAGGCCTCTCCAAGCTGACTTCAGGAGTCTGGGTTCACAAGGGTTTGGGGCTAGGGGCGCTTAGGGTTTAGGGTTTGGGTCTGGAGTGTCAGGGTACCTGAAGGCCCAGTTTTCATGACTTCTTATAAACTTCCACCACCCCTCCCTTCCTGGTGCAGGCAACTAACGCCTCCAGGGCAACCCGAAGGAAAACGAAAACACGAGGGGACCCCTCAAACAGACCCCAATTAGTAGGATTCCCTTATAAAAAAAGAACGCCGATGAGGTACCCCAATTTCGGAAACCAACATAATATCAGTGTCTAGGGCTCATTGGTGTGTTTTGGGGTCCGGAATCTCGTCGGACCCAAGGCGCATAGTGGTAGATGGGCAGCCCCAGCGCCCTAAACCCTACAAGCCCTTTGCCTATAGCATCTGCAAGCATGTATGCGCCCTATCAACCCGATAACCACCTACAAACCCTCTACAAACAAAAATTATGAACCCTACAAGCCGTATAAGCATCTACAAAACCCTAAGTCCAAACCTTTTTCCCTAAACCCTATATGCCCTAGACCCTTGTCAGGTTCTGTTGCAACGGCTCAACACTGCTCGGCATCGTGCGCGTGAGGCGCGTGGGTCTGCTTCGGGGACGAGGGTAAGGAGATGGGGACGGGCTCTTTTCAGCATAGGGGTCAGGTGAAAACGTGGAACTTGCGATACCCTTCGCTGCAACTTTCCTTTCGCTGGTTGTCTCATGTTATTCTCACTTCCTGTGTTTTTTCTTGCTGAAGTCTCGCTTCCTCTCTCATTTCTTTCTCGCTTTCTGCTTTGATTTACAATTTTTAGGGCTCCTCAGTGCTAATCAACAGCGACCGGATGTCCGATGACAGGGTCAAGGGCCTGCTTCGGGTTTATTGGGTTCAGATTTCAGGTTGTTTGGTACACACCACGGTTTTTTTTGGCTTGCGGCCTTGATACAGGTTTGTGGATGAAGGCCCTATAAACCCTAAACCCTAAACCCTAAGCCCTCGTCGGTACTTGCGACTTTCTGAGCAGTCCATGGAGGCACCGGAGCAGCAGTTCCAGAATCAAAGTCCATACTTCCACCCACAAAAACTCTGAGCCCTCACCGGGAATCGGTTTAGGGTTTCGGGTTTCGGGTTTAGGGTTTAGGGTTTCCTGCCACCTTATCTACCCCAACAAAAGCCGCAGGATCCATGTATCTGTATAGTACATACTTGGGCCCTAAAGCCACTACACAGGAACCCTTTAAGGCCCAGGTGTCTACGATATAGGTACATCGATCTTTACACAAGACGCCTAAATCCCAAAGGATCCTCATGCGGCCCGCAAGTTTCGGGTCGGGAGGGGGTTAGGGTTGACCTGAATTCTCTAATGTAGTTCCTTTTCTTGGTGAGCTCCAGGGGTTTCTTTAAAAATGCCTACCCTCAACAAGGGTACTACATATATGACCCTTTGGGTCTAGGGTCTTTAGGGCCAAGGGTTTACGATCCCGTGAAGCCAATGAAGCTCGGAACGCTGTGCCGGGCTGCCCCAGGCTGGCGCGCCTCAGGCGCCCCCTTTGCGAAGCTGTGGAGTTCAGGTTTAGGGTTTAGGGTTTGGGGTTTGGGGTTTGGGGTTTGGGGTTTGGGGTTTTGGGGCTGACTTCAGGAGTCTGGGTTAAAAAAAGTTTTGGGGCTGTGGGCATGAGTTTGGGTGTAATGTCTAGGGTTTCGGGTTTAGGCGGGAATAGGTTTTTGTGACAAAGGGTTATGAGGTTTTTGGGCCTTCACACGTTCGGTAGAGCTGTGGATTTCGGAGTTTGGACGCCGGGGACTGGCGATGACCCCTTCTGCGCGTGATGGGGTTGAGCATTGCACAGCTTCCAAGTTCAGGGTCAGCATTTTGGGTGTTAAAGGGCATTCATGTTCTCTTAAAAGTAGGGACACCTATTTTGGGATTCCTGTAATCAATCAATGCTGTAGCAGCATCCTTTGTGCTCCTCATTCTGGGGAAATGTCCATATGCCCCTCAGCGAAGCCCGAGAATTCATCATGCTTGTATCAACTTTCGATTCCTATAGGTAGGTAAGAAAGACTTCGTGCGCCATTGTGCACCCCCATCTACCCCACCGGAATTGTCTTTTAGTATCTTTTCTCTGTTTGACTTGAGACCCCAAGCATGCACAGACCCGCCTGTTGACCAACACCGCCCTAAAGCCTAAATTCTGTACACAACCCTAAACCCTAAACCCTAAACCCTAAACCCTAATCCTAAACCCTAAACCCTAAACCCTGAGCCCACAACTGCAAGCGGCAGGTGTCAGCCGACAACAGCGGAGAGGTTGGCTTCTGGGAGCCCCACCCTCGGCAGTGTAGTATAGGGGCCTTAAGAATGAGAACAGGGTTTTGGGTGGGATTAATAGAGCCCTAAACCCTAAACCCTAAACCCGAAACCCAGATAAGGGAATACCATTAGTAATTATTCCGACCCCTATTGTACTCTTGATCCTGCTGCGCGCCTGTTCGCGCGACACCTTCTGGGATCCGAGCCTGCTTAGGGTTTAGGGTTTAGGGTTTATAGGGTTTAGGGTTTAGGGTTTATAGGGTTTAGGGTTTATAGGGTTTAGGGTTGAGGGTTTAGGGTTTAGGGTTAGGGTTTAGGCAAAGTTTAGCCTTTAGATTTATATATACAGTGAACTCCAACAAGTTGGAACATCCTTATCCCCCTGCCCGAAAAGGTATACCGAAGGGAATCCCGGCTCTAATCAACCATGTTCCAACTTTCTGGAGTTTTCTGCAGGGGCATATTGGGTGAGGTTTCGTTGCGGCATTGCAGGTGGTGCGTGTCTGGCTAAACCCCTAAACCCTAAACCCTAAACTCCTTAGTTAAGGGGTCTTGGCCTCTTTGGGTTTGCAGGTTTGTCCAGCTGGCGCGAGAGCTGCACACCTTGCACGAGAAGGTCTGCGATGTATGACCCTGAACCCTGCACTACACCCAAGCTGCTACGCCCCCTCAATCGTTGCGTTCCCTCTTTAAAGACTGATTCGGGGTACATGTAAGGTTTTTGGATGTACGGGGTTCACATCCCTTCTCATGATACCCCACACACACACAAAAAAAAACACGTGCCCTGTTAAAACGAGGAAAATCCTTTTAGTAAGGCACTGCTTCCGACATTAGGGTTTCCGTATTGGGGCCCTTATTATAAGGGAATCCTACTATTTGGGAGGTCTATACTAGGGGTCCCTTATTTTCGTAAACTCCCAAGTCAAGGGTTATGAAGTCATGACATTCCAGGATGGAAGTAGTGAACACGGACAAGTGTTGTAAGCATGGGCTGAGGGTTAGGGTTTAGGGTTTAGGGTTTAGGGTTTAGGGTTTAGGGTTCAGGATTCAGGGTTTAGGGTTTAGGGTTATATGTGATTCCAATACGGAAGTAGTGAACCCGGACAAGTGTTGTCAGCATCGGGCTGGGCAAGTGCTGCAGGCGAAGGAGCAGGCGATGAATCAGTTGATGGAGGTCGGAGCCGGTTTCGCATGGCGGTGTAGGGTTTAGGGCTTTAGGAGTTTAGGGGTTTAGGGCTTAGGGCTTTCCCTGCAGAGTACAGGGCTCGCACAGGGGTTGATCAGAATTATGGCGGCTTCCTGGCAACCGTGAACTTTCAGGAATTTACCATACTGGAAGCTCACAGGACCACTGATTTTGAAAGCCCCCCCCCACCCCCTGCCCGCCCTCCCCTCCCCACTTGTAGAATTGTGTCAAAAACTTTAACCACAATTGAGTTTGCAGGTCCACTGCTGCTCTTCATCTTAGCCTCCTCCTTCTAGGATTGTTGGTCAAATGTCAGTACGACAACTTGCAGGGCGATTGCTGACTGCATGCGTTCCCTAAACCTTAAACCCTAAACCCTAAACCCGAGACATACCTATCTAAAGGGCCCACCGGCCTCAGGGGACGTTGTGACAGACATGCCACCACGACTGCTTGGTAGTGCCGGCAGCACACCGTGTACTTGTTGCTACAAGGAGGGGCCCCCTAGTTGTAAGTAGAGTTATAAGGACCCTGAATTAGGTTATAAGTTATAAGTCCCTTAACTATAGTTAGCATAGCAAGGGGGGCCCTCCTTGTAGTAGCAGAGTAGATAACCTTCAACCTTTTTGGGGTAATATAATCCCCTTGCAATCCCAAAGGTTAACCTTTAATCCCCCCTGGGTTCCTGGACAACTAAGTGTTTTCTTGAAGCAGATGCAGCAATGGCAAAGCTCCTCGCCCCATGTGACACACCCCCTGGCTCTTAGCAGGGAATGGCGGAATGAGGTACCCTACATATTCCCATAAAGGGTATAACATATTTGGGGGGGGGGGGGTGGAAGGTACCGAGTTCCCTCCCTAAACCCTAAACCCCTAAACCCTAAACCCTAAACCCTAAGCCCTTTAAGAACCGCCAAGAGGACTGCAAGTTCAACCAGAAGGAGGTCAACCAATTTCATGAAGTGGATGGCCCAGTGAAGCTTTGCCACACGCGTGCTGTTGGCCATTGCGGGTCACCCTTTAGTCCCCGCCACATGGATCCAAGCAGACATGCATCCATGTTCACAAACAAACCCTAAACCCTAAACCCCAAACCCCAAACCCCAAACCCCAAACCTTCACCTGTTGATGAAAGCCACGTGTTCCGCTTATTTTTTGTGGCTGCGACACATGCATGAGCCCCATTCAGCTTCGGTGGTGGCATTCTGTCACTGTCTCTGCATCCAAGTAGAAGCCCTTTGAAACATCCCTGCTCAACATGCTCTATAGATCACGCCACACCGCATAGATTGCAGCATAGAGCGCAATCACACGGTTGAGTTGACGACGCCGCTGCGAGCTTACGCATTGAGAGGTTTGGGTCGTGAAAAGGGCCTTGCTTCCAGAGCCATGCGGACTGCTCTTTGTAGCCTTCGGCGTGCCGCCCAAGGGACGGTGCCGTGGGTGAGGGTCTATAAAGGTGTTTGGCTCAGCCTGCTACTTGTTTAGAAGACCCTTGTGCCTTCAGCACAAAACCCTGAGCCCGAAGACCTCAACAACAACCCTGAGCAGGGCTTAGGGTCTAGGGGCCCTAAACCCTATAACTAAATCAAGCCCTAGGTCCAAAAACTTGTCTACGCCCAGGAAGTAAGCCCTAAACCATAAACCCTAAACCGTTGATACATACGTTCAGCCTTGCGTTTCTGGGACGGCCTTTGAGGAGATTGCGTTTAAAGTACATGTGGCGTTGCATCTACATACTACACGAACAATACGAAGGCTCCATATTGCAACAGGACCCCTTCACAAGATCATAACCTAGTAGCCCCTAGTAGTAGAGTAGGTAACCTTTAACCTTTTTGGGGTAATATAATCCCCTTTTAATCCCAAAGGTTAACCTTTTGTTCCCCCATGTTACTGGACAACTAAGATAATGTAAGGAACTGCCCACACATAAAGGTATGCCCAGATAATGCGGGCGTGGGTGTGCGCGTTGGTCTTCATCGCCCTGTGTATATGTATGTATATATATATAGATGCATAACCATTGGGTTGAATCCCCTTCTTTAGGACCTGTGCCTCTGCCAGTGGAACCCCAGCCCCCCTGAGGAAGCAATTCCATCCTAGCCTCCCAAAGACCAACAA